GGAGGATCATGAACTCCTGCATGGCCAGCTTGTTGCCGGCGTGCGAGCCGCCGTTGATGACGTTGAAGGCGGGCACGGGCATGATGAAGCCCTTGGCGCCCACCAGGTCGCCCAGGTGCTGGTACAGANTGACGTTGAAGGCGGGCACGGGCATGATGAAGCCCTTGGCGCCCACCAGGTCGCCCAGGTGCTGGTACAGAGGGACGCCCTTCTTTGCGGCGCCCGCCTTGGCCGCAGCCATGGACACGCCCAGAATGGCATTGGCGCCCAGAGTGCTCTTGTTCTCGGTGCCGTCCAGCTTGCAGAGCAGATCGTCCACGGCGGCCTGATTGCTGACGTCAACATTCTAAAGTGTGAGTGTAAGTTAGTGAATGATCAGTCAGGCTTTTTTATGTTAGCACACTTACCGAGCCGACCAGCTTGGGGGCGATGATCTGGTTGACGTTGTTGATGGCCTTCATCACCGACTTGCCGTGGTACTTGCTCTTGTCATTGTCGCGCAGCTCCAGCGCCTCGTGCACTCCGGTGCTGGCACCGCTGGGCACTGCAGCGCGAAAAGTGCCGCTTTCGGTGGTCAGGTCAACCTCGATGGTTGGATTGCCGCGAGAGTCAAAGATCTGACGGGCGAAACACTTTTGAATGGGCATTTCTGCTAGGAAGTTTTAACAGACAAAAAGAAAAGATACTAAAATCAAACCAGATCAGATAGAAAATGCGCAGCAAGCAATCACTCAAGCAATAATGGCCAAAGCCACGCATGCTTTCAGTGTTTATGGGGTGTTAGTGTTGAGACTACAACAAAATCAAATTAGAACTTTGAAAAATTCATTAATTTTTAAACCAATTTTAAGATTCACTAAAATCAAAGCTTTTGATTTTTTGCAAAGAAAACAACTTTTACGAGTTTAAATAAAATTAATAAAAACTTTTATTACAAGATTAGTAAAGAATGTGGCTATGTTCAAGTACAAAAAGACGTGTAATCAAAATGACAAAAAAATATAAAACCACAAGTAACAAAAACTAAAGCTAAAAGTTTTTTAAACTTCTTGTGAGGATAGTATTTTACTGACTTGGGCAACCAATTGTGACAAAAGTCAATGTCAGTGTTGATTTGAGTTCCTTGGAAGTAGTAGCCAAGTCGAGTTTCAATTAAATTAAGGTTTGATGCTAGGGAAATGCAGCGATTGGGAAGTAAAGGTGATGGGTACAGTAGAGAAGGTATCAAATCAGTGCCTATTAACAGCTTTTCATTAATCTCTTCAGGTACATCAAACAGTGGAATACTCAAAACGTTGGCAATTTTGGAAAACAATGTTGAATTTATGCTTCTTTCGTGTGAAAAGAAAACCGAAGTCCGTTCAAAGGTAGCCTGGGTAAACTCATTGCCACTTGGTTTGCCTATTTCAATGTTCACTAGTTCTTCTCTGTCATTGTCTGCGTATAGTATAACCTTAAATGGTTCAACATTGAGTTCTTTGGCTAACTTGGCACTAATGAACGAACTTCCAGCCCCAGTATCAATGAAAGCCCACACTGTTTTAGTGCAGGTGTCACTTTTCACTGTCACTGCAAGTCGAGGAGGTATGAAGTACGTCATCAAATCAGAGTTAATTAAATAACTGCCGTTAAACCATTGGCAGAAAAAAGAAATGATTGAATACTGATAAAAAATTTTAGTACAATTAACTACTGTAGCAAGAATACTCAAATAAAATGTGTATGCTGACTTGATTAGTGCTAAGCGGTGCAAAAAAGTAGCAAAAAGAAAACATTTGAAGCAAAAGGCCAGTCCACAACCTACCACAACATAAACAATAAACAAATGAATGTAAATGGAAAACATGAAAAAAGAACCTAAAATATAAAATATTTTTTAATGTTAGCATACGACAAATATAGTAAAAACTTACAGATAAGTTCAATCAAGTTTTTCTTGATGTCAAAAATGTTAAAAGTTAGAATGTTGTTAATCTCTTCTCTTTGAGCTGGAGAAATATCAATTTCATCAGTGCTTTTTAAATACAGTGCTTCCTTCATCTTCTGAGCTTCAACTGTACTCAAAGTCCACTGTTTGAATTTTTCAGTATCAAACTGTCCCAGAAAAGCTATTCCCATTTTTGTGCGAATGATGGCCAGTGATGGAGTGATGTGATATGTTGGTTGAATGGGATGTATGTTAAAGTGTGCATTCAGTAGGTCCTGGCCAATGAGCATGTCAACGCGATACTGTGAACTGAAAGAACAAAAAGTAAGTTTGGGAACAAATATATTTAAAATCGTGTCATACATACTTTGGTTCATCTTCTGACCACATAGTTCTCCCCAGTTCACCCGATTCAACCAAAGGCAAACCTAGTGAAGCCATCTTTTTCACAATTAAATCGACAGGTAGATTTTCGACAATGTTTGTAACACATTCTTCAACAAGAATTGAAGTCGTTATGTTCACTGTTGAATCTTCAACTGACTGCAGTGTCAGCCCGCTTATTTTACGGTAATTTAACGTTTTCACTTTAAAAAATGGCTGTTTGCCTAAAACGGGCCAAACATACTCAGTATTAGCGCCGTTATTAAATAGCAAAGAAGCCAAATCATGTTTAATTTCTGAAAAAGTAGCCCCAGTGTCAATCAAAGCTCTGAATGTAATAGTGAAACCAGATGAAGGTACTATTGCTCGAAGAAATACTGTTGGTCGGGCTAAAAACTTATTTGTTGTATAAAAATACGGCGAAAACTTTTTTGTTGTACAG